CCCCAGGGCAGACAGGAGACACACACACACTATCCCGAGTGGATCCATGTGCCCCAGGGCAGACAGGAGACACACACACTATCCCGAGTGGATCCATGTACCCCAGGGTGGGTAGGACACCCACACACACTAACTCAAGTGTCTCCATGTGCCCCAGGTGAAGTAGAAGATACTAACCCGAGGGTCACAGATCTGAGAGCAGTATGAGTAAATGGCTCTGGCGCGGTCAATCTCCCCCAGCTTGCACTCCATGTCAGCGAAGCGTAGACACATCTCGCGTGAGTGTTCATCAGGCAGCACCTAGGGGGCAGCAGAGCACACACTCCAGCAGTTAAACAAGCACACACCAGCCCTCAAAGTCCTTCACCGCTATCATGATTATGACAGTGAAACAGAAACTGTTCACGTTGATGAAATGTCCATGAAACATTTGCCACACTATCTGCTTTCTTTCCTAGTAAAGGACATTGGAAGATGACTCACTCCTTTTATCAGTTTTAAAATGCAAAGTCATTTCGCAACCTTTTTTTTACAGCGCAATACATTTAGCGATGCAAATAAATTGGCGTTTTTAACCTAACCCTTCCATGCAGTTGCTCTATATGAACAGAAGGAACACAAAGAATAATTTGAACAAGCGAAAGGCTTCTATCCAAGAAACAGAACCGTGGCACAGGGGAGCGAGTGAGTGCTGCTGGAGACTCGCTGTCGACAGGCCCCTAGTGTGAAACTGCCACTGGAGGGCGTGGCACAGGAGGAGTAGAAACTCAGAGGCACAACTGGGGCTTGAACTGGGAACCTCCAGGTACCAAGCCCTCAACCCTGAGCACCTGGACCTCCTCTCCTCCCCGATAAGGAAATTAATCAACACAGGCACCACAGGGAGTGAAAGGCAGGTTTGTCGGCTGTGCTCTCTGCCCTCTCTCGCTACGTCAGGATGTGCAGCTTCAGGCGCCAACGTGGGCAGAGACCAGCCAGTACTGCAGCCGAGAAAGCAGGTACTTCTTCCTCTCGGTGTGCGTATAGGTTCACAGGGGAGAGTCACCCTTCTTTTCGCCTGTTGTCACAGCAGGGCCATGCGGTCGAAGGTGCCTCTGAGACTGAAACACAGCATGACCTAAGGCCGCAGCACCGGTCACGTCAGCGGCCCTCACTGAACCCACCTCGATGGCCTTCTGGTAGATGCTGCGCGTGTGTGTGACCCCGTAGATCTCGGCCGCCCTCTTGATGTAGATGTTGAACATCTCGTACTGCTCGCCGACCTCCACGGCCTGCGTGGCGCGCTCGTACACGGCCATGGCGTGGCGCGCCAGGCCGTACTCCTCCTCCAGCTTGGCGTACAGCAGGTAGATGGCTGCCAAGCAAGCAGACGGTCACCGTCAGCCAGGTCAATGGAAACCGATACTTTTACAGAGCAGCCGTACCACATGAAAACCGCTCAGTTTACCCACAATGCCTCTTCCAAAGCAGAATTATTAGCTCAGCCCACACTGCCAGGTTATGAAATATGTATGTGTATTTTTGGTGTCTGCTACATTTTAAGCTTTAGATTTAGTTCATTCTCTCTAAGATGCTCACTGGTGGGAGGCAGATGAAGTTGGCCCTTTTAACCTAGCTCTTTCAGCAACCTGTATGCTTGACACATTGAACAAGAACACGTCAAAGTGAAAGCCAGCCTGGCCGACCTGCGTTTCCAACGTTAGTGCTTCACCTACTTTTCGCGTACTTGGCCGGACAGCCGTCAAGGGCCTGCTCGAACAGGTCCCTGGCTCTCTCCAGCTTCTTGCCCCCGTAGCGGTCAATGAACTTGGTCAGGTAGGTGTTCCAGATGTCGTACACGTTGGGCCACTTGAAGAGGGCAATGCCCCGCTCGTAGGCCTGCAAAAAACCAATCACGCCAGCGGCGTCATGAAGAATCCCCTAGAGGGGTGTTCTGGAACATGGCTTAATTAGAAAATCTAATTATCTACAGTTCTGTACAATATATGGAAGAGAGTGTAAAGTATAAAAAGACAAAGATTAAAGACTGTAAAGATCACATTCATTTTAGTACAGAGTAGCCGATACTAAACTTTTTTAAGCCAGGCTATGAAAGTGGGATGTGTTCACTGGACAGATTCCCCAAGAAAAAGCAAAGCCACGGGCATCCTTCAATCACTCTACAGATGTGTTTATGGGTAAACATTTTTTCAAAATAAACATTTATTTGGAGGACCCCCCAGAGGGTACCCGCACCCCTCACCTTGAAGCTCTCCTCGAAGTAGTTGTGCTCCTCCAAGAACATGGAGTAGTTGATGATGATCTGGGGCGTGGCGATCCGCAGGTCAATGATGCGGTCGTACACCGCCTTGGTGGACTGAAAGGGCGAACAGCAGAGAACAGTGCAGGTGAGAGGTGAGCACACGCACGCACACAGACAGGACAGGTGGATACTTCTACTTTGCTGTCCAAATTAGCTTTGGTGAGCATGCGCTGATGTGAGTACTTAACATCCTGCCTCAGAGACAACAGTCCATCCTCCCTCTCCCTGTGCTCCTTCAAAACCAAGTAAAGGAGACCCCTTTTAACACAAACAGTGTGGGGGCACGTTATGAAACAATGCCATGGATTTTCAAGTTTTTTCCCCCACACAGCATTTTGCAGCCCTTTAAGGCAGTAAATTCACACACAACTGTACTGGGAGAAACAGATCCCATCTGCAACATGCATCGAAAGGGGACTCCACACCTGCACACTGACGCACTCCACAGGTGTCCGAACTGCACAGAAAATAAACGCACCTGAAATGTCCCCAGGCTCTCCTCCAAATCCGCCAGCATGGACCACACCTTTAGAGACTTGTAGACCCGGTTCTGGACCGGTTCGGATGCATCAAAGTATTCTGCTTTCTTCGATGGAATGGCTGTGGCTTTCTGTAAAACAGAGGTGGTTAAAAAATAAACTGCTTAAGAGCAGCTACCCTATGGTTTCACCATTTCACAGTGCAGTTTTTTTTTTAACATAAAACCTATTTTTAGTTTGTTCAGAGGTCCTGAAATGAGCTGACACAGAACAGATTTTATAGGATAGAGACATCAGCATCAGAACAGTATTTAGGTGACAGACCCTCTTCACATGGGACTGTACTGTAACCCATCATGTGGAAATTTGCACAGGGATCTTGCTTATTCTGTCTAGCAGCTGTCTCTGCCTAGCTTCAAGACTGCATTTGAAGAAATGGACTCTTTCAGCCTGCACTGAGAATCCACACAAAACACGCTGATGATGGGATATGGCGGGACACAAGTCACGCTGGTGCCAGAAGTGGCTTCTGCTGTCCTGCACTTGCCAAATCCTGCACTGTCCCCCGCAACCCCCACCCCAGTCTGACGGGCCCTCACCCTCAGGATGCGCAGTGCCTGGTCGTAGTTCTCGTGCCGGAGCTCCATCTCCCCGTACTCACACCAGACGCTGGCCAGGTCGTCCACCTGCTTGTAGTTCACCTTGGTGGCCTTCTCAAAGATGGTCCGTGCCTGGGGGGGGGGACAGCAGAGAGACAGAGGGGGACATTGGGGGAGTGAGAGAGAGCAAGAAGGAGAGGCAGGCGCAGGGGAAGACAACCATGGGAGGGAACAGAGAGTAATAACAGTGACATAAGATGAAGTGAAAGAACAAGATGGATTGGAGAAAAGAGAGAGCGGAAAAAGATCTTTCACAAGCCGATCAGAAACAGTGAACATCTGTCGATCCTAATCGGGTTTCATTTTCAGTTCTGGATCATGGGGAGCTGGAGTCTATCCCAGCAGGCAACGTGCACAAAATCAGGGAACACCCCAGACAGGATACCAGTCCATCTTGCGGCAAACAGACACAGACACAAACTCTCACACCAGGGCCAGTTTTCCCAGAAGCCAATTAGCCACCAGCATGTCTTTGGGCTGTGGGAGGAAACTGCAGCACCCGGAGAAAACCCACGGGAACACAGGGGAAACATACAAACTCCACACGGACAGCACCCCAAGTCCGGAATTCAACCCAGGGCCCCAGCTCTGCGAGGCAGCAATGTTAACCCCTGCGCCACAGTGCTGCCACAAACCGAGACAAAAACACATGGCTTCTGGTGCTACAGCTTGGCCGGCGCACCAGGAAACGATCGGACACTTAAACGTCTCTGTTCACTCACGTCGTCGAGCTGCTCGTTCTCCTCGTAGAACTTGGCGAAAGACACCCAGAGCATGTGTGGCTTCCCGGTGGCCTTCATGGGGTCGACCGTCTGCACCGCCTCCGTGTAGGTGTTGATGATCTGCCCGTTCACAAGGAAACAAGCGTCAGTCTCCAGCGTACGCGAGCGACACGGACGCCCACCAAACCGATTAACAAATTAACGATGCGGCGTGCTCAGGAAAAACAAGAACGCCTATGTCCCTCTCCTGCGGATAAGGCCGCAGCGCTCCCATGCCTGCTCGCTGGAATATGGGAATTATTTGCCCCGGGTGCTGACCTCTCGCGGCTTGCCCTCGTACAGCTTCACCCTCTTGTGCCACTCGTGCACGTTGTGCGGGTTCTGCCGCAGCAGCACGCTGTTGAGCAGCAGGGGGCGCCGGTTGATGAGCTGCTCGAAACGCGCCAGCCGCAGCTCCAGGTCGATGTCGTCTGGGGAGGAAACGGAAACAGCCGCAAATGGCGATTATTGATTATTGATACCGTTAATTACAAATAAAAGTCATCTTTTTACCCACAGCAACCATCACAGCTGCCCGCAGAACAGCTGTTCCAGTCCACTGCAGTGGAGACTTGAACAACTTCCAGCTCCTAAAGGTTTTAATTAGGCTGTATTGAAGTACAGTGATCCCTTGCCAGCTACATTTTGCAGCTGGTAAACTCCTGGCCTTATGGGAAAAATAGGGTAGGGGGAACTGAAGTCACGATTCAACTTATTAAATTCCCTTAAACACGTTTTACCAATTATAAAGTAAAACAATGTCAACAGAAAAACACAATATATTGTGGAAACAATACTGTATAGTTTTTTAATTAATTTGTAATGTGATTTCTAGCATTATTGCTGTGATGACACCCATGTAGACTGGGTTACATGACAAATACAAGAGCAACATCGCTGCGCCACTTCTTACACTCCCTCTGCTCACTTCCTCACTTTCCTATAGTGCAAGGATTGACATTTACACCAAACAGCCGAACCCCAGCTTGATTAGTCTGCCACGCAAAGTGCCAACCACGTGACATTTCTCTTCGAAGCTCAACGCGGATCTAGATCGCTTGGCCACACTTGTGCTCTTCGGTCTCTCTCGTACACATATGAATCGAAACTGCTGGACATGCCGACTTGCAGAGGAGGCTAACTGAGAAAGAACAAGACCAGACCGCGAGGCTGCAGTCTCACGCTTCCTCTCGTGACACAAACTCTCTTACCAGCACGCATCGGAGCTCACTTTGCAGATAAGGTTTTGCTCAAGGCTTGGGAGACACGCATTGAAAAATGATATATATTATATAACAGTCAATTCAAAGCGTGTACTCAATAAATTTGTGCATGGCAAGGGATTACTTTACTACAATGGAGAACTGGAAAGAAGACCGCAGGCTGAGCAAACCTAGTCGCCAGATGCTGAGGAGTGAACGAGTGTGTATTATCCAAAAGACTGTCCTGGGGCATTCTGGTCTGGGACCTCAGGCCTCACCTTCCTCGTCCTGCCCCATCTCGGAGTTGGTCTCCATCTTGGCAGCGATCATGCTCTCCTCAAACTGGGCGTAACTGTCGAACACCTGCGTGAAGTCCCGCACCGTCACCACGGTCTGGATAGACTCCTCGTACATGTCGCGCGCCTGCAGAGGGGGGAGAGCAGGGCGAGAGACAGAGAGGAAATAATTCTGTCCCTCGATCTTATGTTTTGGGTCAAGCTGAAAGAACTGAACCTGTCTACTCCAGGATCAGGGAAGTCTGCGGGGAGACGCGATACAAGTATTCAAAAAGCTCAAAGGCACCGACAAGGTTAACCCAGTGAACCTCAGAATCAGCAATGAAATATGAACGCGACAGCACAAGTCGAGGCAATATGGAAGTGAACTTAAATCCGAGAACGGATTTACACAAACTTTACCCAACAGGTGGTGGGATTGTGGAACAAGCTACCTGGCCATGTTGTAGAAGACAATACCCTGGCTTCACTCTAGAAAAGGCTGCATGAGATCCTTGGATCATTTAACTAATAGCCAGCAGCCATATCACCCTGCACCTCACAACTGGCAGCCCACTGAAGCTCAGCAGGTGTGAGCCTGGTCAGTACCTGGATGGGAGACCTCCTGGGAAAAACTAAGGCTTCTGCTGGAAGAGATGTTAGTGGGGCCAGTAGGGGGCGTTCACCCTGAGGTCTGTGTTGGTCCTAGTGCCCCAGTAAAGTGATGGGGATACTATACTGTAAAAGGGCACCTTCCCCCCGAATGAAATAGGTGCTGTCTTTGGGATGAGATTTAAAAAAAAATTAGACTCTCTGTCGTCATTAAAAATCCCAGTGTGTTTCCCAAAAAGAGTAGAGATATAACCACAGCGTCCTGGCCAAATCTCCCCCACTGGCTTTTATCAATTACGGCCTAATAATCCCAATCTCTGAACTGGCTTCATCACTCTGTTCTCCTCCCCACTGAGAGCTGGTGTGTGGTGAGTGTTCTGGTGCACTATGACTGCTGTCGCATCATCCAGGTGGGGCTGCACACTGGTGGTGGTGGAGGGGAGTCCCCATTACCCGAAAAGTGTTTTGAGTGGAGTGTCCGAAAAAGGTGCTATAGAAACATAAGAAATTATTATTAGCCCATTGAGCTAGGTGGGCTGTACGGTCTCCTCCTGTCTGTACCCTTGCTTGTGTTTTGAAGCGAGCTTCAGCGCTGGCGCCCTACCTTCTCGAAGTGCCCGCTCCGGATGTAGTAGTCCGCCAGGGAGCACCACAGCTTGCCCAGCTGGTCCGTGAAGCGCGTCAGCCCCCCGCGGATGATGGCGCCCACGTTCAGGGACTTCACCTTGTCGGGGTTCTGGGAGATCAGGTCACACATCTCGTGCCACAGCTGCGGGACGAGGAGAGGACAGTTACACACACACACACAACAGGGTCACACCCGGACCACCGGGATTCGGGGGGGGGGCTCGATTCACGGATTCACCTCCGTGCCAGGGAAGCGCGAGAGCGGAAAGCAGACAGCTGAAGACGACACCCACCTGGTAGTTGGACTTCCCCTCCTTGGAGACGAAGGTCTCGTCGTTGACGATGGCGGCCAGGCGAACCGCGGCCTCGTCCAGGCGGTTCACTGACCGCAGGTACTCGATGTACTCCTCCGCGTTCTCCGGGCACAGCTGCGCAGAGACAGAGAGTCAGGCCCCCTTCCCGTGCGCTGCGGGCCGAGCCCTCGGCTCTCCCCGCGGGGGAGGGGGGCGGCGGCAGCGGCGGCGCGCTCACCTTGAGGTAGCGGCGGTAGACCCTGACGGCCGTCTCGGGCAGCGGGTAGCGGCAGACGAAGCGCAGGTAGAGCGGCCAGACGCGGAAGTGCTGGGTGACGGGCAGCGCCCGCAGCGCGCGGTCGAACGTCCGCCGGCTGCGCGTGATCTTGCACTGATCCACCAGGAACTGGCAGTAATCCAGCCAGATCCGCGGCATCTGAGAGAGGAGAGAGACGGGAGAGGCTCCTTCAGAACAAGCACTGCACTCTAGCTCCTCCAACGTGCTCACTGAGACACAGGCAGTTTTTCGGGAGGGGGCAACCGGTTTGCCTCCAATAAACTCCCTGCAAGGTTTTTAACTGGTCGGGTACCAGAATAAAGCCCTACTCCCGAGGAAACGCAGACGGGACGGAACAGATCTTGTGGTTGGTTGACGGGCCGCTACCTTGTGCATGAAGACCAGCGCCCTCTCGTGGCAGTTGTTGACCTCCTCGAAGGACAGATCGGTGACACACTTCCCCTTCACCTGTTTCCTGCGCTCCCTCAGGTAGTTGTACCACAGCTTGTAACTGCAGAGACAGCCGGGACTTTAATCAGCAACCAATGAGAGGTGAAAAACTCCTCACCTGCACAACTTGAACTGCATTTAGATTCTGCTCTTCGCTTCACCCCTCAACTACGTGCCTTCCTGTCCCAAAACGATTACCGTAACTCCGGAATCGAAGGCCTTTGCTTCATTATGCTTAGAAATGCTGCTGTGGTTATAATGGTTGATTTGGCTTGCCAACCCTGAATGCTGCACAAAATAACCGCAACAAAATACCAGCCTTTTAACCTGAAGGTTTGATATTAAATGTTCAAGATCTGTCTCTAGATTTTGAATATAGTGACTGAAGAGATTTTCTTTGTGGTCACTTTCTGTTTGAATACCCCAGTGATTAGAAATCAGCCCCAGTACCACCCAGGGAGAAACCTGTGGGCACAACAGTCCTACACACCCACGGCCTGTGAAAGCCATTTGGGGGCAGCAGGCCCCAGGAAGCACAGCTGAGGCCCGTGGCACCCCTAAACCAGAATTCACTCAGTCAGTCGTGATGTCCCCTCTGAGGAGTCATGATCACAGTTGGCTACTGACACAGCCCAGGCTCAATCAGTGTCAGCGGAGCACATACATACACATGCAGCAGACTGCACGTTATCGCAGCGGACTTCTTCAGAACCAACAGCGAAACACGAACCAGAGAACACAACTGGGCACAGCATTTAGACCCGAGAACAGGAGGCGCTTTTCTACACAGAATATCACGGGAGTCAGGAACAAACTACCCTGACATGCTGTTGAAGCGAATGCCACGGTTTCCTTCAATTAATTAACTCATGGGCTCTTGTCTAAGTGAATTCTCAAAGGATCAAAGGTTTCAGTCACTTCTGGCGTGCCTGCAGAATACTCCATAAAGTTATTTCACAGGACCTAGCTGGCTGATTACAAGCAGACTCAGTCTTAAAGCGCTCGTCTTTACAGAAAGGGAGGTGGGGGTGTGGAACAAGCTCCCCAGCCACACGGTCAAAGCAGGATGCCAGGGATCCTTCAGGAAATGGGCTGGTGATGAGACGCCAGGGTCAACGAGCTACCGAACAAGCTGACCTCTCTGAACTCGGGTCCCTGGGCAGAGTCTGTCTGTGTCTCCCGGGGGGGGAGTGAGCCGGGCCGAGCCGGGCCTCACCTGCCGGGCAGCTCCTTCAGTGCCCTCTCGTACACCATGTTGAGGACGCTCTTGGGACCACTCTGCTTGTGCTCGATGTACCTCATCCAGCACTTGACGGAGTAGGGGTTCCGGATGATCTCCTCTTCATAGGGGAGGTCTTCTTCCTCCTGCAGACCGGCAGACGGCAGACAGCAGACAGCAGACAGAAAGACAGACAGGGGGGGAGAGAGAGGGACAGAATGAGACAGAGACAGAGGAGGAGGAGGAGAGAAAGAGAGACAGAAGGACGGGGAGAGAGAGGAGTGAGGAAGACAGACAGAAGGAGGGGGAGGGAGAGAGACAGAACGAAGGAGAGTTGGAAAAGTTACAAGTTGCGAGCAAAACAGCGTCTTCGAAAATGCAAACACCACCGTTCCTTCTGATCCCAGCTCCCCCTTAGCAAACGTTTGTGCGAAAACGACTGTTTGTATTTATCCAAGTGATCATCCAGCACCTTCAGAGAGATCACGGGTGTACAGAGACACGGGCAGGGGGGAAGAGGGGACACGGATAAGTATTGGTATGTATGGGTACATATTTAACAAAGGGGGAGAAGTACCGTCAGTCGTGTCTACCTCTTCGATACACCAGTTGCTTTTTAAAACCCATCACGCGTTTGACGAGTTGCGAGCTGAGCGTTTAAAATGCTGCCTGAAAACTGCATAAATGCAAAGTCTTCTGAGGGATATTAGGAATGAAGCTAATTCTTTCAAACGTAATTGTTGAGTAATAAATTAAGATTGTTTAAAGATCCGAGTCGTGTGTTGGTCACTGTTTAATCGCTGCAGACGTGTATCTGAAATTAGTAAAAAAACATTAATTGGAGAAACTGCGGTCTGCGTCTCAATTTAAGTACACATCTCTCAAGTTTCCCACTTTTAACAATGCCCATGCCGATGATGACCCCCTATCCGTAAAGCCCTCACGCCAGAACAGGACGCATTCGTCCCCCCCACACTGACTCAGGCAAGTCCGAGGCTCAACCGAGGCCTACGGGGGGAACAAGCTTCAAAACCACGCTACGGCCCGACAGCTACACTTTCCAGTTAATAATAATAAGACTTTACAAAATCCTACTTACAAATGTGACCTCTCGTTTTTCCGTTAATGACGGCATTATGTATGGTATAAAACAAAATTAAGTTTGAAATTCCGTGATAAATTAACTTCCAGAACGCGCTACCGACGAATCCCCCAATCACCGCCCACTGCGGGAATCTCATTGGACAATTCACACTGCGTCATCCTGACAGCCAATGACCGTGCTTGTCTTGGTAAGCCCCGCTACGTATGAAAGTGACGTACTACGACGTAGTGTACTGTGTACATAATGTAACTGAATATTGATAATGATGCAAAGGAGCAAGTTAAAGGTTTATTCCATCCTGAAAAAAGAAGTAAGGAAGCACAACGTTTCGACTGTGGAGCCTTCTTCGGGTGTGATTGGTAATTATGGTTTTGTTAAGCTTTTTTCCACATGTGAAATTTGGAAGCAAAATATTATTAAAAGATTGTTTTAAATGGTTAGATGATAAAACATCCCAAAGCGTCGAATTCCTTAAAACCTTAATAAGGAAGATTATCTGAGGTGCGATTATAGCTAGTGAACACTATCCAGGAGTGGCGATCTAAAGTATAGGTCCATTGTGTGTTGCCCATGATCCATAGTCTGGGCCTGGCCACAGACAAGACACCTGCATCGCAAGATGGAAATCGGGGGCAGAGGATGTAGAGGGGAACACACAGAGCTTTCTAACTCTGGAACGCCAGACTAAAGACGTCACTGCGGGGCCTCTCGAACAGGAGCAGTATGAGTTTCACAATGGGTCTTGCCCAAGATTGGAGCTGCAGTCGTGGATGTGGAATACACAGAGAATTAACAAGAACGAAAAGAGCACAGTTAAAATAAAATCCAGGATAAAACTAAACAAAAAAACAACCAGGCATGTTGTGTGTCATGCACTCCTGATTCTCTCTCCCCACTAAAATGAATGTCTCCTTGATAAGGGTGAAGTGGCAGTTACTGGCCTGTTCAGGGATTGTTTGAGGTTTCACTAGCTGGCTGCAGTGTGTGGAGAAAGAGACACTCAGGGACACTCTTGTGCATCAGCTGTGGAGTTTATATTCTGTGCTGTTAGGAGTGAAGATACAGAAAGTCATACAGACTGCCCTCCTCTCAGATTGACCAGTGTCCCTCCCAGTGCACTGCATTCTTCAAGCCCTGAACCACAGCCTGGGCCAGTCTCACAATTCACCACAGTTCACTACAAAACACTGACGACAAGGACAGGAGAATGTATACCTAACGCTTCTATACGCAAGAAACAGAGTGAGATCTCCAGAGGAACAAGTCCTTCTCTTTCCCTGTGCCTCTCCCTCTCCTCTTTCTCTTTCTCCCTCTCCCTCTCTCCTCCCTCTCTCTCCCAATTTCAATTCAATTCAATTCAAGGTGCTTTATTAGCAGTACAATCAGTGTTGCCAAAGCAAATAAAAATAAAATTAAGATGAAACAGAACACAAA